AGTGCAACAGTACCAAGATATTTTAATGACTAGCTATCTATATATAATTGAGCTTTTGGAACAAGATTTATGCTGGGGGGGGGAAATCTTAAATGTTGAATTCAATACAGATAATGTATACAGAACTGATGGACATGCACCTCTGTTCAATTATAAGTCAAGCAATTTTGTAAGATTTAAGAAGTGGACTAGGAGAAATTTTAGTTGCTAAGGCAATGAGCCTTAAAACATAAACTACAAACTGTGAGAAGAAATTCTTTACCTGAAGCAGTGTTGGAGGCCACGGTGTGTGTTTAAGATGCCTCACTTGGGAGATATGGCGCCCTAGACTCCGATGGACACTGCAGCACTCATCACATATAAACGTTCCCCTATTTACTGATGCCCAGGAAGGATCTGGAAAGAGAGTGAAATCTCAGTGGCGAGGATACCAGTTGGCTGGTACATTGCCAAATGCCAAGACAACTGAGGTCTGTTTTGGTTTTTCAGAAAAAGGAGACATTTTTGTTGTTTTAGTATGTTTATCAACATATCAAGCTGGTAATCTAATCTGATGATACTACCTACATTGGTTGATTAGGTACAATGTTAATTGAGACTAAAAACATGAGGTGAAGCCTTGAATGAGCAGTTATCTTCTTTCTGGTTCAGGGCCACAGGTTGTAGCCCTAAGGTGGACTCCACTATCTCAGAGGCATGCTCTTTCATTCCATGTAAAAGAAGCGACTGAGAGAGCACAGATGAACCATTTCAAATCCATCTCCACAAAGAGCAAGATAATATCATTTTGACTGAATTATCTACATAGCATTAGCTGGAGTAAATGGTGAAAAGACTGCTGCCCCAATTCACTACCACAAGTTAACACTCCCATATGCTTAGCAGAAAGCTGTGAGTTAGAGAGTCATAAAGTCATTCATCTGCTACAGTTCTGAGGACAGGGAAACCTGGCCTCTTCCACTAGGAAATGTTCTAGGATATCCATTATTTTAGATAAACTACAGAGTCCAATCCTGCAATTGATCTGAAAGAAAAGAATCTGTAATAACAGAGACTTCACAGCGACAAAGATATAAAACAAACATAAGTAATATTTTTGGTGTAGGTATAATACTTTTTTCCTTTCAAGACATAGAACTTCATTAGACACTCTTTGACACACGTAATAATTCATACTTGGTAGGCAGGATGAACCAGAGTAAGTAAACTGAGCACTTAGAAGCCCCAAAGAAAGAAAGACCTTCTATGGTTCATCAGACTCACAGTGGGGTGACGATAGGTGCCATTCAAGTTGCTGGGCCTAAGGGTTATATTTTAAAATTCTTCAATGTCCACAAAAATCTCTAAAATGCATGTAAATCGTCTTCACCATTTTTAGCAGTTTATTCAAACCCTTTCAAACCATATAATAAAAAGTTACAGAATTTCAATGAGAGACAAATCCTGGAAACCAGGGAGTGTGGTGGTTAAGAGGGTTGGCTCTGGAGACAAAGCAGTCCAGGGTTTGAACCCCAACTCTTCCACTTCTTGTACAATGATCTCAGACAAGTTATTTCTTTGAACGTACTCACCATGGGTCAAATGGGAATAACAACACATTTCAGGCTAGCGAGGATATGAAAAGTAAAGTACCTCTCATATAGTAAGTACCCAGTCATGTTAGCTGTGACATCTTTTCTAAATTATTTTCTGAGTATTCAGATATTTTCAAAAACCTAGTGAAATTCATAGCCACCAGAAAGAGGTTTTGACTGGAAATACTTAAAACATCGACTGTTTCGTGTGAATATTGTACTACTGTAGTGGAGTTTTCAGGTAGTTGAACTCAAGAGTATAATGTATTTAAAATGAACGAGATTCATTTTTTTAAAAAGTAAAATATTTAATAAGATGCAAGCATAGTTAAATGTTTACTAAGAAATAAACCAGAAACAAAATAATTCAATAAAGTATAACTCTCCACAGTACTACTATATCATTGTAAAAAGCAAAAATTGGAAACATCAAGATGAAGGATGGAGATAAGTAACAGATTGCTTTCTGCAGTATGGTACTACCACTAATGACAGAAGATTGTTTTGAAGCATAGTGTTGATTTTAATATATCATTCAGAGGATTCACAGTATTCTGCAAGGAAATTAAATAGAAACAAGACAGCAAGGATATGACAGACATTAAGAGAGGTTCTTGATTAATCACTTTAAGATTATGCATCAGAATCCCATGGGAAGAATATTAGAATGTAACAACATAGTAAAATCAAAATTGAGTTTGTATGAATGAGGTTGAGTGAAACCCTTCAAGATTATCTGGATGCTTTACACCAGGGCTCCATGGACACCACAAGAGGACTGGAAAAAAAAAAAAAAAAGGTCAATTCCCCCTGAGAATCGTACAGATTCTGTATGAAAGAAAAAGTACATATGCATTTTGTGGGGAAGCACCTTAGCATTCACCAGAAACTCAAAGGAGCCCCTAACCCTACAGGTAACTCTGTCACTAGGGCTTTGCGGAAAAGGCAACACAAATTCCTGGCTGCTCAAGTTCACAGCACATTTTAAGGTAGCCTAATTATTTTCAAAACAGGAAGGAAGTGACTCAAGTTTCTGTAGATTAGGCTAAGAGACAACAACTAAAACGATACAATGGAAAAGAAAAGAGTTCTGAAATGCACTAAACACTGCAAAAGTGCAAGGCAGTATTTCGGGAGGCAATGGAGAAACAATTTTCCTTTGCCACATATCATCCACTGAGAAGTAAAGAATATACATTCCAAGAGGAAGTCATAAGCTAGACACATGTGAATCAAACACATCACAGAAAGTTCAACTAAAAACAGGCAAGAAAATAAGGAAGTGGAACAAAAAACATTTTTAGAGAAAACGACGGAGTTTGTATAACACACTAACCTGGTTTATAAAACAACTCTTTTAAAACTCCTCCATCCCCCCTCCCTATCTTCAAAGGAAACTGGTAACACCACCTGCACTATATGGACCATGACATAACCACAAGATTTGAGTTATCACAATACTACTTAAAATCAGCCTCCACTTCCAAATGACAAGATAAAGATCAGAACAGTTGCAAAGCCACTGGTGATCGGTGATGTAATTAAGATTGTATATTGGATGCTATTGTGCCAAGGAGGCCATGTTGCTTTCGAATTACTTCAGACTCAAAGCCAATAAATTCAAGCACCTGAACAGCATATAATAATCTATACAGAGGTCAGGTATAGTGGCTTATGCTTGTAATCCCAGTACTTTGGGAGGCCGAGGTGGGAAGATTGCTTGAACCCAGGAGTTCATGACCAGCCTAGGCAACAGTGAGACCTCACCTTTACAAGAAATTTAAAAAATAGCTGGGCATGGTGGCTTATGTCACAGCTACTTGGGAGGCTGGGATGGAAGGATCATGGGAGCCCAAGAGGTCGAAGCTGCAGTGAGCTGTGCTCATGTCACTGCCCTCCAGCCTGGGCAAAAGAGTAAGACCCGATTCAAAACAAACAAACAAACACACAAATGAAAGTCCATATAGAGCCGGGTTCGGTGGCTCAGCCTGTAATCCTGCACTTTGGGAGGCTGAGGTGAGTGGATTGCCTGGGCAACTTGGTGAGACCTCATCTCTACAATA